TGGTTTGGTACCGGGGATCAAACTCCGGTCCTTGCACTTGCAAGGCAGGAGGTGGAACTGCTGAGCTAAATCCCTGGCCCTTTTTAATATTTACTTTATTGTTTTTCTTATGAAGTGAGCTTATAAAATAATGCAGATTGCTAGTCACATTTAGTATGGTGTGACAGTTAGGTCTTACGACAGTATGCTCACTGAAAAGAAACTGAAACATGACACAAACCTTCCTGAAAAATTCTAACAAGCCCTTTACTACTTCATAAATGCCACAAGAGAAACTGGGCAGTCTGCAATGAAAGGTAGAAAACTCTCCATCTCCTTCCAGCTCTTCACTGTGTTGAAGAGATGCTGAGTTCCTCCAGAGTTTTGGTTAGCTGGGTGGTTTCCAAAGTGATGGGACTCTCCAGGTAGGCAGTCCCTGCACAGAGTTTTCCTGTTATTGGATCTATGACTCTGCCCACTTTGAAGACGATCTCTGCCAGTTCATGTTTCACGTGCTTCGTTCGGGGAACAGGTAAAGCTTTGAGAAGCACAATATCCCCAACGGTGCACTGCTGAAGGGCATCATGAGCAAAGTAGGTTTTTCGCTTATTAAAGTACTGTTGAGAAAAGGAGAGGAACAAATCAGCAGCTCCCATTCCTGACCTGGCAGTGCAGTATAGAACATGACAAAGTAATGTACAAAAAACGAGCCAGGACTCGGGAAAGAAGATACTTAAGGAACAATGACTTTTCCCAGAGTGGATCTCACCCCTGAGCTCTAGCCCCTTCCCTGCAGTATGCTTGCTCTATCAATTGCTGTCTGATTATACCGAACTCTTCCTGTCCACGGAAGCCTTCTCTTCAGCCTATAAACAGGCTACACTCTCCACTAGCTGTGTGCATCCAAGCTAGGTTTCTTCCCAACATAAAGGGAGGCTCCAGAGAATTAACAGATACAATGTACATAAAGCAGGTAAGTAGCTCTATGCTTGGGTCAAAGAATTGCTAATAACTAATGGCAACTGGAATCACTTTATTTTTCATAACCTTGCTGCACCTGGTTTTCCCATTTTGCAGATGAGAAAAACAGGCTTAAGAGGTTAAGCTGTATACACAGCTGATAAACAAGAATCAGTACTCAAAGAAAGGCCTTTTAATGCCAAGGACCATGCCATAACTCTAGTCATTCTTTGGCTTACTCCTTGTTTTGATGCTAGATAATTAACACCTCTTTTGCTTTTGCAGTTTTGGGGATCAAACTGAGGACCGTGCGCTTGCTAGGCAGGTGCAGCACCACTGAGCTACATCTCCGGCCCTGAACAGCATTTCTAACTATCCACAAATAGCCCAACTATGAATGCAGAAACTGCCCTTGTACGCCTAACAAATCAATGACTCTGACCCTTCTGCATGAAATCTACCTTTTCCCACTTCATCTCCACTGCTCTACTTTTAGTTCAGGTCCTTACTCTTTCCATCCTAGACTTCTGCAATACCCTCCTTACCCATTCCCTTACCTCTAGTCCTCATCCCTACCCCTAGTCTCCAAGTCTGTCTTTCCTTTAATTAACAGGTGAAATACAAAACACTAAACACCCTTCAGTCAGCTCCAGGTGTCCTTGCACTTGGTCTTGTTGATCCCCTTGCTATTTCTTTTTTCTTTTCTTTTTTTGAGACAGGGTCTCACCATGTAGTTGAGACTGACCTGGAACTCACTATGTAGCCCAGGCTGGTTTCGAACTCACATCGATTCTCCTGCCTCAGCCTCCCGAGTGCTGGGATTACAGGCATGCGCCACCACGCCCAGCCCCCTTGCTGTTTCTGTAGCATGCCATTCCATCATGAGTAAGTGAACTTCCATATACTACTCATCATAGCTGGAATGTCTGTTCTCTGGATGAAATCTTAAGATTCAGCTCAAATGTCTCCTAATCCAAGATGCTCTATGTCTGAAAGTGTCCTGTTCTCTGCTCCCAACAGTGCTTTGCATATAGACTAACCAGACCAGTTATCAGACTGACTTGAATTTAAGTCTGTTCCTCAAATGCAGGAACTATGCTATGCTCACAAAGCAGGACAGTACCCAGCTAACAGCAGATGCTCAACACATCTTTACTGAAGAGGAAGGAACCTAGGATACGTTGGTGATTGATCAATGCCACCTGAAAACAGCTATGCTCCTTACCTTTAACAAGTAGGGATCCAGAACAAGTCTGGTCACTCTCACTTTAGCAGTTTTTTGCATTGCTGTACCAATCACCTTCCCCACTACCCATTTGGCATGCACGGATGACCGAGGTACTGACATTGTGTGGCTTTGATCACCTGGGAAAGGAAAAAAAAGTCAAAGTTTAATATTTTGTTGGTTATTACTTGTCAAGTGAACGTCACCCAAACTGCTGAGGTTCAGAAACAGCTTCCGTTATCTTTCTGGAGTCACTGTTTTGGAGATGTTTATACGTCCCCTTTGCCTTCGCGACCCAAGCTCTATCCTCCTAGCGCTGACAAAGAAGAAGAATCTCTTTAAGCCTCAGTCACCCCTCCGTAAAATGGGGCTGCACTCGGGAATACTCTTAAGACTCGACCTAGAAGGCGCTCAATAACGCAATCTACCTTAACATTAAGTGCGAGTGTCAGCATATCTAGTAGAGATTTTAAATGTTCACAAGACATAGTAAATGAGGTAATCGATATAACATTCTGATGTGATCCATTTGGCATAGTATACGGGCAGGGGAATGTTCTCTGTGCCTCATAAATATTTTCAATTATAATCCTATTAACAATTTAATAATACATTTTAATAACAATGGCTGGCTGCATTCTGTCCCTAACCTCCCCCCCCTCCCCTGGCCTCTCCAAAATCCACAGCCCGGGTACTCGCAGCCTGCAAGGCCCAGGACCAGGGAGATGCTTTTACGATCCGATACTACTGAGACCATCCCGCTGTGCATGGGGAAGATTGGGGTGATTCGTAGCCCCAGCCCTGCGTAACCTTGAGGTCAGAAGACCCGACTCGCTCGGACGATTCAGGCGCCACCGCGGCCCGGAGGGGCTGACGGACCCAGACCTCGGAAATGCGCTCGCCTCAGGGTTCTAGTGCGCAGCCGCAGAGCCCACGGAACACCGCGGGACCGGCTATGCGTCACGCCGCACGCAGGCCCCGCCCCCATCGATCCTCTTATTGGCCGCGCGTCCTCAGTGTTCAGGGGCGCTCTCTGCGGATCTCCCCTAAAAGACACCTGGAGCTGGGTGGAGCCTTGAGGGTGTTCTGCCTACGTTTTCCCCACGTGCACTGCGACTGGAGGGCGAGAAGTTCCGGCGCTTTCCCAGTTTTATTACTGTCTTCTTCCGGTGGGGAGTTGAACAGGGCCTTCCAAATCAAAGGCATTTTCACTCATGGAACATTGAAACTTTGGGTGCAGTTAGTTAGGAGGAATAACTTCTAATGTTCTTTTACACAGTAAGGTAGCCATAGCTGACAACACTAAGTGGGAGTGTCAGCATATCTAGTAGAGGAGATTTTTGAATGTTCTCAAGACAAATAGTAGATGAGGTGATTGATATATCATCCTGATGTGATCCATTTGGCATAGTATATAGGCATGGGAATGTCCTCTGTGCCTCATAAATATTTACAATTATAATCCTATTAACAATTTAATAACAATTTTAAAAAGTGAAACATTTAAATAACAAATTAACAATTCAGAAAAGGAAACAATCAGGCTTCCAAATTCTAGAATTGAAATCATCGTTTCTGTCCTCTGCAGATGCTCCCACCTGCAAACAGGATTGGACGCCCAGGATCTTTACACTGAGCTACATCTACAAACCCATTTTTAAATATCACTTCTGTGATGTTTGGTCAGGACACAAATAGGGGAACCAGGAACCTATAGATGGACGTGGGATATAGGGAGAGATTTAGAGGCCGAAAGGAGGTACATGGAGCGGTACTGGGGTGTGAGAAAACAGTATTGAGAGAGGAAGAGACCACCATGCTGGGACAATGATAGGAGAGTAAGCTCCAGGTGCAGTAAACTATTACCTTTTGCAGCATGGTGTGCTTCAACCGACCTACACGCGACCCTGCTGAAGCCAAAGAGGTGCAACATACGGATGCAATGAGAAACCATCACCAAGAAAAATCCTTAGTATCCCTGTAGCTTCACTTGCTCTTCATCAATTTAAAATCACCAACTTTGGCCGGGCGTGGTTGCACATGCCTGTAATCCCAGCACTTGGGAGGCTGAGGCTGGAGGATCGCTGAGTTCGAGACCAGCCTGGGCTACACAGTGAGTTCCAGGTCAGTCTCAACTACATAGTGGGACTCTGACTCAAAAAAAAAAAAAAAGATTGTGTCAGGGTTAGCTTGGCCTATTGCCTGTTGGAGCTAGGATGTGTTTCTTCTACCCCTTTCAGCCACTCCAATTCTAGGGCTCTCCAGACCCCAAATTCTGGCCTGAATTTCTTGATTCCTCTTTTCCTGCCAACCTCTTCCCGCCCTTATCCCCCACCTTATTTACAGAAGTTGTTTGCATTTTTTTCTTTTCTCATTTTTTTCCATTTCCCTTTCTTCTTTTTCCCCTCCTCCTTCCCAGCTTCCCTTTCCTTTTGAACAGTTTCTTCCTATTTCACATTATCTATTATACATTTTGGTCCTTATTTATCTTTTCAGTTTCTCACTCGAAAGAGACAATGTGATATTTACACATGTATGTCTGATTTATTTCACTTAAGAGTACAGTCTTAAGGTGCATCCATTTAGCTATACAAGTCTCATTTATCTTTCCTTATGGCTGACTCCATTGTATTAAAAAACATTGTTTTAATCCATTCATCAGTTGATGGGCATTTGGGTTGTTTCCAAGATTTAACTATTACAGACTGTGTTACTATAAACATGGGTGTGCATATATCACTGTGGTATGATACTTTTTTTGTTTGTTTTTTTTTTGTTTTTTTTTTTTGAGACAGGGTCTCACTAAGTAGTTGAGACTGACCTGGAACTCACTGTGTAGCCCAGGCTGGTCTCAAACTCACAGCAATCCTCCTGCCTCAGCCTCCCAAGTGCTGGGATTACAGGCATGTGCCACCACACCTGGCTCCCCTTGAGTTTAATCTTGAGGTCATATTTACATAGGTGTTTACCTCTCATTCAAAGGCACTGCTTGGGTATTTATAAATATCTAATAATTTGCATCATTATTTAAGTATTAATGTCAGTAATACTATTTATATTTAAGTATAATTTATTTTATAATTCAATATAATTAATCGTGTTGCAACAGATGTACTAAATGAGTCTGTTATATGAGAAGAACCCTTTATTATTAAACAGGGTGTCACTGTGTAGTTCAAGCTGGCAATGAACTCACCATGTAGCCCAGGATGGCCTTCAACTCAATTCTTCTGCCTCAGTCTCCCGAGTGCAGCGATTACAGGCATGCGCCACCACACCCAGATGAGAAATCATCTCTTATATGAGATACCGCAAATATAAATAAAGAGTAAAATAAAAGAGATAGAGTAAGAAAAAGGGAGGCATACTGTTTGGAGATGGGGAAAAGGATCAGGGGAAATGCGAAGGGTGGGCGAGAAAAGGAATGAAAAGTGATCATGAATATATATTGTCCCGAATGAATGTGACTATTATGTATTGCAAATATAGATTCATTTTTAAAAGGGAAAGAATAGTGGTGGGATAAATTGGAGGCTACACACTTTATCAAGGGATGATGAAGACCTAAATTGGAGTGGTGGAATGAAAGAGAAAACATGGAGCAGTGACTAGGAAACTGACTAGCTGTGGGAACGAGAGGAGGTGTGTATTTGTACATACAGACAATAATGATAGAATTAAGTATGTATTAGTCTGTTCAGGCTGCCTTACCAAATGCCACCAGCTGGGTGGCTTAAACAATACAAACGAATTGCTGCACCAGTACTGGAGGCTGGAAGCCCATGATCAAGGTTTAGGCCAATTCAGTTTCCAGTGAGGGTTGTCCTCCTGGTTTGCAGATAGCTCCCTTCTTCATTTTTTGTCTCTGACCAAAACTTTAGTTAGGCCCCTCAAGGTCCTCTAACACAATGCTGAATGAAGTTGTGGAGGAGTAAAAAGAGGGAAGCTGGAAGCGAAGGAGGGGATATGATGTTGGGACATAGGGGAGAACTTCATTCCCAGCTCCTCTTATCTGTCTACACCCATTCACTTGTACATGCTCCTGGACAGAATAAAGGTCATATACAGACACATCTGCAGGAAACGGACGGCTTGGCACCTCCTCTCTCCAGGAGTTTGCTTTGTATCACCTGAGAGAAAGGCCAAGATGGAGGTTGACATGAGGGAGAGCAGAGCCCGAAGGCCTAGAGCCGCAAAGGCTGCTCATGACTCTAATTCTGGATTTAAAGGCCATGAGAAGCAACTTTAGGGCCTTGCTTCTTAGGTCGTACAGCTGATTGACTAAAATAGATGGAAAAACTACCGCATTTCTAATAGAACTGCAGTCAATTCTGTACTCTTTCAGCAGTAAGAAATGGGCTTGCCAAGCCATAGGTCTAGAAATGGGATTTGCACCTGTATATGTGTCAGATGTACCCAGGGAGAACCATGGGTATGGAAGGAGATAGAGACTGAGACTCTCTGAATGAATAACAGATGGTCTCATCAACAGATTATCTCTCCTGATAGAAATCATTTCCCAAACCCCTACCTCTGAACATTGCTGCTTTGGGGATCAATCCTACAAACATGTTTGGGGTACACTGTATAAACCATAACAAAAAAAAAATTTTTTTTTGTACTGGGGATGTAACTCGGGTCCTTGAGCTTGTGAGGCGGGCGGCAGAACCATTGAGCTAAATCCCCAGCTCACAAAAATTAATATTCAGGGGAAAAGGGACTTTTCAACACTTGGGCACGCCACTATGGAAAATAGTATGGGGGTTTCTTTAAAAACTAAAGGCAGAGCTACCATGTAACTAACGCAGCTAATAGCACTTCTGGATATGTACTCATAGAAAATGAAGTCAGCATATAAGTGATAAATGCATGCCTATGTTTATTGCAGCATTATCAATAATACTAAGGTATGAATCAGCTCAGATGCCCATCATCAGATGTACAGATAGAGAAAATATATATACACAATGGCTTCACTCAGTTGCAAGGAAGAATAAAATCATGTCCACTGCAAGAAAATGGACGGAAGCAGAGAACACTAATTTGTACCGTTAATATGCGTTAACAAGAAAACAGACTGGGTCGCCTTGGGCTTCCGGTTTCCTCCACTCCGCTCTGTCTCTGGGGGCCACCGCTACTCCCCGAGAGAAAGTAGCCACTCTAGGAGCACAACGCGCTCTAGAGGCCCAGGAACGTTGCGGGGTGGGGAAACGTGGAACACTGCCGAGTGGGAGGGGAAAGGTGAACTAGTGCCTCAAAGACGCAGGAGTCTGTCACCCTCCGCTCAGGAGAGTCAAGGAAACCGGAAGTCAGGAGGTCGCTGGGGAGGCGCGCGCAAGTGCAAGGAGGAAGGATGGGTTGGGGCGCGCTGCGTACTACATGTCCCGTGAATCTCTACGGCGGTACGGCGGCCCGGAGGGATTGGGGGAGAGAGTTTCCCGCGCCCTTGTGGTTGGGACAGGGCCTCATTTAGGAGCGCCCTCTAGCGCATGCTTTTCATTCAGCGGCCACCCGGGGTCCCCAGGGCTGGGTGCTTGTGGGCTCAATTTAGTGGACCCCTTTTGGGGTCACCCCGCTGTCATTCCTTGTGTCTGGGCTTTGGGAAAGTGTTGGGGCGCGTCTGGGGAGCCGTTTAACCTCCACTGTCATTTTTTTCTGGACGTTTGCGACCTCTCAAGGGATCATTGCGAGTCTCACAGTTAACTATAGACAAGTGCGGTTTCCAGCCTGCTCCTCTCATTGTGGACTGGGAAACCCGGAGAAGATGGCGAAACTTTGGGTCTACCCGGCTCCCCGAGAGTTGCCGTCACCTCTGGTTATTTCTAGATGACAGTCTTGAGCTGTGGAGCCTAGAGAATAATTCGTTACAGTCTTGGTGCAGACGGAGGGAACCCCGGAAGCTCTAAGCTATTTCTGATTAAGCAAACAGAACAGTAATTATAGGAAATTTATACCCATTAACCACCAATTGGCAACACTGACGTCCCTCACCAGGTCCTAACTAGTATTTTGTCACCTGACGATTTAAGGTTTGACAGTGTTGTGTTGGAAGTTCTTTCTGCATCT